CGTCTAGCGACGACCTCGCAAGACGGCTACATCATCTCCTTTCTATCAGATTAGAAGTGCCAGCAGATCAGAGAGCTCTAAGAAGCAGTAACCCTGATTATCGTGGAATGAAGGTTTCGGATATGATTAAGAAGGATTTCGGGAGCCAAGACCAGTTCCAGCGATACCTGTAAGAGAGGAACGGCAATTTGAGGAGGGGTCTCGGGGAGCTGACCTCGCTTAATGGAATGGGCAAGCATATCAAAATGATGGAGACGGAGATTAGAAGACCACTGAACAGTTACTTGGAGTGTGTGCATGCTTAACTCGACGTCATTTATCAACTTACGTCGGGTTAGTCGTATCAAGAAAATCATCTGCGCAGAGTCGGCGGTATTAGCGATTACCCAGCGAGTTTTCTCCCTGTACACCCTAGACGCACAGTGGGAGGCGATGAGAGAATTGAACAGGCTCTTGTGAGTTGTATGACACTTTCCAAGTGTGACGCTCAATAAATCGTGATTCCTTCCGCTAGTGCTTCATCCCACCCTTGGCTAAAATACCTTATCTACAGCCAAGATTCGGTCGGTGCGATGGAACGGAGAAAGAAAATCAAAAATATACTGTACGTACATAAATGCTTTCTTTCATGATAATATTCAGAGTCATTTCCAAGGAACGACTGTGGCCGTTCCAAGAACACATGCCATCCAAAACCCAACTCTCTTCAGGAGATCATAATCGCGCCAATGAGCCCGTACGTAGACCAACCAGGTTACAGGACACACTCTCGGGTGGATAGCGGTTATCCTCCGCCGGTAATGCCTCCTGGAATAGTAAATCGCTCAGAGTAGCAGGCGGTGATCAATCATACGCAAGCTATTCCTCGTTTGGAATCTACGCAGCCTAGAAGAACACCGCGGGAAGACCGGGCTACCACGCCAGGTGCAACTGATGGGCCAGAGACAGACTGGAGGCAACCGAGTTTACCCGACCGTGGTCAAAGGGAGGCGATTTCTCGTCCAGTGTCAACGCCACCTAGATTGTATGCCCCGAGGGAACAAATTGAAAGGATGGTCCCGTATCCTGCGTCGGAGATGACTCGTAGGATAGAGAGACGTCCCGAACAATCTCCTCTATCCAGCCAAAGTCACACTGAGCCCTCAAAAAGACCCGAAATTCCTACGAAAGGGCCTGCAAAGCACACACAAGCTCCACCCAAGCAAGTATCTTCCCACGTCCGAGGAGCTGCGCCTGCGACTCCGATAGATGACGTCGAGACCGCTGAGAGGAATATCAACGGGAATGCAGGCGCCCGTGCGACTTAATATTCCAGCATCAACTGATCGCTGTTACGCAGGTCAGTAATTACTGACCAGGAGCATGGATCTTATCTGAGCCGGCACAATGACGGATCCGATGGACATCAACACCAGCCGCGAAGCGACGGGCTCCCGCCCGAGCCCTGTGGCCACGGAAATGCCTCGAATAGGTACATCCCGTAGACTTTTCCCAAGGATAATCTATGGACTAAACGTGAATAGGGACGACAACATGCGTATATCAGACGAACCTTGCTTTATATTACCGGGCGCTGACCAAGTGCGAAGCGATGTTCAAACTTCTGCCACAAGAGGTTTAGAGCCGTCAACAGGCACCGAGCTGAGGCCTAGGTCTAGGTAAGAACTGGACGCCTCGGGTAGGTATTCAGTACTAAGGGACATCAGCGATGCACCAATCCAGCAGGGATTAGACAAACCTGTTATTACTGAGAGGTTGCCACCACCTCCGTATATGAGGCCATCGTTCAGCAGCCAGATGAGGTCGAGTACGTTTATCTACTGCAAATGACACGAACACGCGACTAGCAGTGTAGCGAGACACTGTCCGGAAGCAGTAACGCAGACCGCTCGTCGTCGGCCGCGGAAGTAGACGGCACATTACCGCACCCGTACCTCCGTGGGACGCAGAACCAGTCGCTGAATTCCGAAGAGACCCACCCGGTATTGTGGGTCGCAAGTTCCTGCTCGACAGGATTACCGACGCTTGCGAGTACATAGTCCTCGATGAGGCAGAGGGGCGATTTCTCATCAGGGCCAAGTACAACGGCCAGAAGATGGTTCAGAAGCTCCGGTACAGTGAACTCGACATCGGGAATGTCGTAATGCGAGACCGAGACAACCAAACCTACTTCAACGTCAACCCTCACCGAATTCGTGGGGTGACGTTGTGAGTCACGGGTAACGACGAGGAGTATAAGATTCATGCGTTTTACTTGGAGGATGGTATTCGATGGTTCGAAATTACGCAGACATTGATGTATAGCGAAATGTTGAGGATGATTAGGCCGAGTCACCAATTGGAGATGAGTTTATGAAGAAGAAATACGCGTTGTTGCCTATATTTACGTGTTTGTTTTGTTACATTTCATTATGAGATCATATATATTTAAAGTCAACTCTAGAGCTCACCGGAACGGTTGGCCCTTGGAAGCAGTTCACTGGTATCTTTCAAGTTAAGTTACAGTTACAGTTCGCTGGTATTCGCCAAACTCTTTTTGTCTCCTGACATTTCTCCTTTCAAGATACGTAACGACAAGAAAATTTTGAACATACCATGGGTTGATGATGTTTCAACACAGTCTGCAAACGCGTTTCGTTCTCGACGCCACCATCGAAGTATGTTAAAGAGAAGCAAGGTCTCGCCGTCGGGCCCTTGGGTCCCAAACATAAACAAGCACAAGGATCGGCCCGACATCCGCCTTTTTTTTTTTTTCGAGTTGGTCATCAAGACCATCTGGCCTCGGTGTTCTTGGCTTCTTGCATGTTTCGTGAACAACTTCAGTCTTGTCTCCTTTGATCCAGAAGTCTCTAGGCCTCTCCTAAATAGTGATAAGTATCTGCTAGTGTCCTTCCCCAATTCTTCGCGAAAAGACCCAATACATATGTCACATGTAATGACTAATTCATGCTGCGGCAGCATTTAAACATCGTTGCAAAATCTCGGACTTGATATCCAAATGCGGTTTGCACTTGTTCAGATCTTCCCAGTCCCATTCATTATCGCTATCAATTTCTTCCACTCGGTCTCGAGTTCTACAGAACTTAATTTTCTCCGTCCAATATAATTGAGGGCTGAAAATGACACCGTGATACAAGTGAACGCTTGATGATTCCACTCCAGTGTCGAGGTCCAGGGTATTGGCAAAGTCCTCCCAGTCCGCCTCCGAGCCTGCATCATCCGTATCGGTGTCCGGATTCACTACCGAATTCGCCCAAGTGCACCGTACGAATTCCCTCCACTGCACTTCGGGTCACAAGTCTTGATGTCAAGGCTGTGAAAAGCCGAAGTATTGCATGTGGCGCACTGATTTGGAGGTCATAATGCTGATGCTGGGAAAGCTCTGGGTGCTATGCAGACGATGTCAGCGCCCGTATATAGTGCATAACTCACGCGGCGTCATACTCACCGCAGCCCCCTGAGTCACTCAATAGCATATTTGAACTTCTGACTTATCTTTCAAACTCTAACGACACAAATGCCTCAGGGTCGGCGGTGAGTAATTGACCAGATTCCCGAGAGACATTGAGCAGATCCTACATTGTTACATTGCATCTTGTATTCTACCATCAACATTTTTCGGAATAACAGCGCTGATAGCTCAGTCGCGCCATTGTGTCATGCGGCGCCGGCGCGATTGATACGGGTGCGGCATCTACGTGAGATGAAAAACCAAAAAAACACACGTCGGGAATCGGTCTTCTCTCCGATCAGAAGGTATCAGGGGGTGTACTACTAAGCATGTCGGTTTGCGATTGCCTATTTTACGGTGAGGTTCTTGGACAATTAAACACTGGGTCAGATGGTCCGAGGAAGACATCGTGTGTGGAAAAAGCTTGGGACGTATCAGAGCGCTCTTTTTAGGCAGCAATCAAAACAGAGTCACTTGATGACACTCGGCATGTGGTGGGTGCTTGAAATTGATAAAAAGTAGTTTACCGACTTTTACAATCGCAGATTTTGTTGTAAGGAAAAGACTGTAGAGGTATCGGAGCGTACCATGCAGTAATCAAAACAGAGCTTATTTATGTAACTAGGGCATAGAGCCTTTCATGCGGGTGCTATGAATTACGATAAGCACTGAAATGCTTTTTCGCCAGCCAGACACGTCGTACAACCGGCGTCAACCAACAAAAAGCGTACTGGCTAACTTTTCTGCTAACGAGTATTGTACGTGGGCCTCCATTATCCTCGTATTGACCATAGCAAGGTTCAAAACGTTTCTGATATAGAGATTTCCCGCTAGCCGGATTGAACGACTGACCTTGTCATTGCATGAAAGTACGAGTGACACGCTCTACCACTGAGCTAAAAGGGATGATCATTGTATTGTTAATTGAATATCTATAATCCTTCAGTTCTCCAATTCAAGCTAGATCACATCCTTTTCCCCACATCGTTAGCAGCATCTATCTTCGGGGACGCAGAACTCCAAACAGCGGGGGAAAAAAAAACTAAACATTACCCCGAAAGGTTTCATTTCAATTGACCGGTCCACACTCGCGTTTCACGTTGATGCCGGATTTTCAGTTTCGACTCGCCAACCCTGTTTATCTACATTCCGAAGGTTTGGCGGTTCCGAGTATGGCGGTTCTGGACTAAAAGTACGTTAACGATGCGGTGCGGTTCACGTAAGGATTTCATTAATCTTTGGTGGACACGTAGCAATCGTGTATCATTGCGCAGTTCGTCTGATTATGTACGTACCTGACGATCACGTACCTGATCATGAATCCTGAAGTCAACGAAGCAACTTTGTAGACCAACGGAATGGAAATTGATACAGCAGGACTTGGACTATCGCGGTGATAATATGAGTCAGAGTCACCACGGTTCATTACCGATTTCGTCTTTAGAGGTTCCTTCGAGTTTCAAACAGCTCACGCACCAGGGAAACTAACATTTCTGCATTCCGATTTCAGATCTTCAGCGGCGGAGGAAAAGATAGGAGATAAACAACATTCCCTCTAGCCGACTTGAACGACTGACCTCGTCATTGTGACTGAGAAATAATCATGTACTAGTGACGCGCTCTACCAACTGAGCTAAGAGGGATAGAGTTTGAAGATAAAAACATAATATTTAAAACCCCTTCTGTTGGGCAGGTACTCGGACTCGCATGCTTCCATGATCTGGGGACCTACATACCAACCCCCAAATCATCTTGGAGCGGCGGGTGACATATACTGCTCCGGAATGACATTCCTCAGTAAGATGTTACCCCGATCGAAGAGAGTGGTTCAAGTTGGATGGGACCGGCGGGAGGTGAGGCCGTACCTGATCATGCTCTATTAATGAAACAAAGATCCAAGGAGGTGGATGGAGGTAATTTTGCGTTGCGCGGAAGTAGGGTGACTTGAACTTCGTCTGATTTGACGGCTGTATTTCGAGGAACTCACGCCGGCGATCTCCTCCTTTGGTGGGAACGACGAAGCACTGGTGGGAGGATGGGCGAATAGAAGGTTGCGTTTGGGGGATTAACCGCCGGCAATCGGACGATTCTTTAGGGTTTGTTTGAATGCGAAAGCGATGTTCGTGGAGGGGGACGAAGCTTAAGCGCTGATTGAATGAAAATTGTGATAGACTTGGCGTTGGATGAAGAGCAAGGGATCTCGGGGCCGTGATAGCTGTATGTGGGATGTGAGATTGGAGCTGTGAGTGGGTATGTACCTGATCATCTTAGAGGGTGGGCCTGATCTCGTGGTATGTCAAGCTCTGATCCGGGGGGGTGAGAGCTTGGGAGGCTGGTGTTTGTTCATAATGTCAAATTGTGGGGTGGCCAGGGCGAAGACACGTTGTTCGTATCATTGTCAAATTCTGGAGAGTTAATTGTGAGGCTGAGCGGGAGCAGATAAAAATCATGAGGATCTGTCTCAGTACTTGTACTTGCGACCGACGAGAAGGAAAAATCTCCGTATTGCGCAACGGGGTTCCTGATCATCATATATACTGGTGGGTATATTATATGTACATAAGAACTTACGGTGTTCAATAAAACCAGGAGGAATTACGAGGCGAGTGATCCGGAGACTGAAGAGAATATACGTTATGCCAATGTGATCCGGCGCGATGGGGATACGGAAGCGGGGAGAAAAGTGCGTAATGACAGATAAGTCAATGAAAGGTGGCTTGATACGTATCGCGTCATCAAAATTTCTGGACCCAAAACGGGCGTGAAAAATATGCCGTATGGACGTACAAGACCATATATACACAGTTGCGGATTGAGCTTGCTGTCAGACGACATAGGTTAACGGGAGGGAGATTGGACGTGGCAATCCAGGCCATGCAATAGGTTCTGATTCGGCAAGAGTAGGAGAAGGGCTCATGACTGCGCGTGTACCCAGACGCCCAGAAGAATGTAAAATTCGAATGCAGAAAAAGAAGAAAGAACCCTGAATGGAGGCATGTGGTACCTGATGATCTTGTTCCTGGATGGAGCATGGCTGAAATGGTCGGTAAGCAAGTGACGTGACGGGTCGCCACGATGTGAAATGTCATTTTGAAACCTTGAACATTTTTCCATGCTAACTGTCTTGAGGCTTGAGGCTGTTCTACAGAGACAAGCCGCTGTACGGAGGGGGGGGGGGGAACTTATCGGTCAGCATGTGGGACACGGCGGTAGAGAGGAACGATCTCGGGATGGTGATTGGAGGAGATAGCATGTCAGGCCAGGCAGGGCGCTCTGGACCAAATTTGATCTTTTTTGATCTTTTTTGATTCCGAGTTGCCGATGTGAGCAACGTGACAGATTGTGACCCTATCTGCATGTATTTGGTTGCGACATGGTCGGATCCGAGATACTGGTAGGTTCAAGCCTTTCAGACTCCGCTGCGACAATCAATGTACCTTAAAATCGTTCCTTTCAACAGAGTACCCATGGTTCGTGGACGTACTCCCTCCCCTGATCAGCTCAAGCCGCATCCGTCTTCGTCCTCGTCGTCTGATACGATGGCCACCATGGTTGTCCCCCCGCCGTCTGCTGCAATCACCAAGCGCTACCGTCCCGCCCCCGCTAAGACCTTCCAGTGCAGGGGATATGGAGAATGTCGCATGGTGTTCAGCAGATCAGAGCATCTCGCGAGGCATATCAGGTACCGTGCCTTCACGTCCCGTCTTAGCATGTACTCATCGTGTCTATACTACTGCCAGGAAGCACACAGGAGAGCGCCCTTTTACTTGCCACTGCGGGAAGCAATTTTCAAGGCTGGACAACCTGCGCCAGCATGCACAGACGGTGCATTCGGACAAGCAGGATGACAACGAGAGGATGATGCGAGATCTCACGACGCTGCATGCATCGATGGCGGCGGCAAACAAATCCCGGGGGACTCGGCGGGTGCCGCCCAAAGTGCCGGACACAATTCGGCCTGGGACAAGCACTGGCTACGAAGGCGACACCTGGCACATATCGACGCCGACGTCGGCATCCAGTGACCATAGCGTCGCCCATCCGAATTCGGCTTCCGCGCCATCTGCCGGACCAGGGAGTAATTCCTTTCGGTCCTTTCGTGACCCCCGGAACGGCCAGTCCTTTCGTGACCAACCATCCGTCGCCGGCGCGAACCAGTCCACCCAGTCATCCAACTCAAACGCCATCCCCGCCACACTCGGCTTCTCCTCCCGTCCCGGCACCGCCAACGGGCCCACCCTCCCGCCGCTCTCATCCCTCATCCCCCTCCCGCCTCCCCCCCAGTCCTCCTCAGGCCACCTATTATTTCGACGTCCCTCAACCGCTAACTCATCCTCATACCCTCCCTTCTTCCTTAGACCAGGCACCGCCCCAGCCACATCCACCCCCTATCAACAACTGGTATCTCCCTCAGCAGCAGCCCTCGCAGCAGCAGAATCTGAGTCTCCATTTTCCTTCCACGTCCCCGCTCAAGACGGAGCCGACTACCCCTCCAATCCCACTCTCGGCTCAGATGACACCGGCTCCCGACCGCAGTCGCGACGACTCTCGGTCATGGAGCTCTGTAATGATCAGCCAGCAGCAGCAGCAGCAGCAGTATTACCAACAGTACGCGATGCAGCAGCCGCAGAGGGTTCCTCAGAGAGCGTATATGGGGCTTGATTACTCGCCTTTTGGCGAGTATGAAGGATACCAGTCATATCAGAACGGTGCAAATGGGGCTCCGGATAATGGGAATGGCTTCCGTTCTCCGAATGCCGGCTTTGAGGATTTCAGTGGTGAGAGCGGGTACCCACAGCAGCAGCAGCAACAACAACAACAACAGCAGCAGCAGCAGCAGCAGCAGCAGCAGTGGTACAGCAATGCGGGCACGTATGGATATTATGGTGACGGCGACCGCTGACTTTGTTTTTTATTCTTTTGGGCTTTCTCTCTTTTTGTCCTCGCTCTTACTCCCTCCTTCCAAAGCCGCTCGTTGTTCCGTCTCTCCCTCAAGTGAATTTAATGTTATATATATCGATATCCCGTTACTACTATGCTTTGTGTTTAATTGTCGTTTTTTCCCCTTTTTCCCGTAAATATGCAGTGTGTCTGTACATATCCCCCTTCGTTTAGTTGATTGGCGGCTCTGCTTGTGTTACATATTTAGTGTACATAGGAGGGTTTACAATGATATCCGAAAAGTGTCCCGAGAAGGGACCGTGTTGTGTCAATTATCTCAGTTGCATGTCGACCGAACAAGTGTGGTATGGAAGTGTGATAGCCGGTACCGAGTGGGCGAATACTTTGAATGCCAGAGGTACCGACGAGAGGCATTCTCAGGTTCAGGTCCCTGTCCTGGAGGGAGGGTACCTGATTAACGGCAGTTTGAAGGTTTTGACTTGTAGTAGTAATCTCACATTAAGAATTGATAAGTCGTATACAATCACCTGTATCTCCCTCTTAGCTCAGTTGGTAGAGCGCGTCACTAGTATGAATTCATGACGAGGTCAGTCGTTCAAGTCGGCTAGAGGGAATTAGCCTAAAAATAAAATTTATATTTCACTTTTTTTACAGGTTTGATGTTGTATGTTGTGTGTGACGACCGATGATCCACTTTTCCTTCGTGAGCGTTTAATTTTTAACTATGCTTCATACTAATGAATCTGCAGACATACGATCTCATTTGGTCTCCGTTTTGGAGTAGGAGGCTGCCTTGGAATACTAGCCAAGCGACAGATTTCTCATTCATCAAACCGCGGAACAAACGCGAACAAAGTGGTCATGTATTTTAGTCAGACCATCAGAAGGTGAAGATGGGATTTTTATCATAGAATAACAAGCGGAATGACCTGTTGGGAACAAAGATGGCACATACACTTGTGTCTAAACAACAAAGATAGTTTGATACTAATCTTATAGAGTACGATACGCACGATTGTCTGAAAGCAGGAAGCTTTGAAGATGGCACAGCTGAAAGAACTATATACAACTTCTTTTCCATCATCCCTCTTCGGTAGGGAACCCTGGGTGAGATGAAAAGGTGGCGATAAAATTTAAAGAAGCCTCGGAGCCGGAGAAGACTCGCAAGTCCATTATGCGGTAAGGGAAGAGACCAAGCGAATCCGAGTACTGAATCTGATGAGCCTGGGAGATATGTGTGACAGTATAGATCTGAGATGGGCTCGATATTAATATACCCTGGGTTTTTTTTTCGCGGCTGCCGGTGGAGATGAGTACAAGGCGAGATTGATATGGCTCGTGGATGGGCGGGATTTGAATTTGAATTTAGTGTCGCTGACCGGCGGCCCCGGGCCGACGGAATGTCGCTTGACTTCAGACCACGACAATGGGTGAAAAGGCTTCGACACGTTGCGGCTCGCTCGCGTTCCCCGTCTTGCCTAACTGAGAAGTGCGATTGATACATGGAAATCTGTTGGGACTCGCCTCGTGATCCAGTCGCAGAGACTGTGTGTGTCTTTATTCTCGCATTCGCATAAGATCTCTCCGGTAAAATATCGATAAAAGCATGCGACAGAAATAGAAAACGAGCCATTGGTGGTGTTAGCTCCCGCGTTTCTATCGCATGGGCCGGGTGGTATGTTATCTCTGATTCAAATTCTTCCAGTTTTTTCTTGTCGTACTAACAGAGAATTACTTCTAGGCCAACAAATCCGCGAACGTATATACTCCCTTGAGATTTCATGTACACCGCAGTGATTGAAGCGGACTATTCTTCAGCTTCCTCCCCGTGACGCGCTTACTGGCGCACGAGGTCTGCAATAAATAGGACGTGTCCTCTGACGGGATATCCATGAACCAGGTGAGGATAACGGTTAGTCATGGTTTTATTTTCTGAGGTTATTCTTATCCTCAGTCGTCTCCCTTTTAAAAGTATACATTACGGTGCAGCCACTGGGATGTCGCGTTATATCGCTGTTACAAAATGAAACTCTTCGTTCTGCTTGCTCTTACCGCGGCCTCATCCGTTTATGCTAGGGTATGGAATGATACTGGTGTCGGTGCCATCGTCTTTGAGGAGGCATGGTCAACTCCTGGACTTGCGGCGACAGTGGGGTGAGGGTTATCTCCTAACGAGACGTCGCAAATATTGATTTGAAACAATATAGTGGTGCACCGGCTCTTGGTGCGCATGCTCTTTGATATATTTCGCCAATCTGAATGGACACTGCGGCAGGCAAAACTATCGCAGAACTCCGAGCGAATCTCGTTGATGTCCATAATCATAGACTGGCGCTTATGGATGAGTTCGGTATTGACTTCGTAAGCGACGCCACCGTTCTCTGAAGATTAGCTGATCTAGGAACGGCCCACTCAGATGGTTCTCTCTTGCGTACAGCCTTGCGTCCAAGGAATATCTGATCCGGAAAAAGCAGCCGCAATGGCCGTTGATCTCAACAACAACTTGGCGGATATTATTTCGAATAATACTCTCCGGTTTGGCGCCTTTGCGGCTTTGGCTATGCATAACGCCTCTGTGGCTGCTCAAGAACTCAATCGGACCGTTAATGAACTGGGTTTCCTCGGAGCTTTGGTCAATGATTATCAACAGTCTGGGCCAGATAACGGTATGTCCCCGTGCTACCCCCACATAGCACGAGGTGTCTAATGTGACTACAGACACACTCCTGTACTATGATCAGCCGGAATACGATGAATTCTGGCAGATGGTGACGGACCTGGACGTACCGGTGTACTTTCATCCTAGAACGAATGTCGAGCCTATTTTGTCGCTCGTTTATGGCCATGGCTTTGGTCTGAACGGCCCTGCCCAAGAATTCGCCGCAACACTGTCATCGCATATATTGGGATTATGCACAAACGGGGTTTTCGAGTAAGCGCCTTTTACGTTTGCGTTTGCGTACATGTGCGACTAACAAACGTGGACAGCCGGTTCCCAACTCTTAAAATTATTGTTGGCCATCTTGGGGAGAGACTTCCCTCGGATTTAGTCAGAACTGATGAACGTAAGTCTTGTAAATGGTATATCACCTTTCGCGGTTTTGACTTATCCGTTGTAAAGAACTCCTTCGCCAAGTTCCCCTGGGAATTCCTATGCAGCGGAATGCCTCCTCGTATTGGCTCACGAACCTGTATGAGACGACTTCTGGAAATTTCGTAACGCCACTGTTGCAGTTCCATGCGTCCCAAATAGGTTTGGATAGGATTATGCATTCGATTGATTATCCTTTCGCTCTGATTAGTGAAGGTTCGGAATGGGTCGATAGTCTAACAGACGTATTGACAGAGGAAGAGCTGCTAAGGCTAAAGAGAGGAACCACGATAAAGGTATTGAAATTGAATGGCTGAGATTGTCTGTTGTCCGAATGTGAGTCTGCGATAATACAAAACCACCTTCGCTCCATTCTTCTCTCCGTCGTTCGTGATGCAATACGCTTGTTGATGTGTGGCATGTGTGAAAGATTGGCCTCTTCTTTTTGCGGACACGTCTCTGAGTATCCAGGAACTCATGGAAATATTTATAGCTTTATAGGCGCCTGTTCGTTTGGTTGTTCAGCCTTCTATCATTAAAAAGTTCAAAGCGCAACGAGCCTTGTTGTTAATCCCAGAGGTGATGATACAATTTGTCCCTTTAATGTACGTTTCGACAGCCAAGTTTCCTGTCTCTAGTCTCCAGAAACTCACTTCTTTTTAGAATAATCTAACCAGTCCAACCACGAGTCAGACTCCAAATCCACCCTCCGGCTCGTCTTCATCATGCGATGGAGCCTCGAGAAAGTTACTCTGGCTTCCAGGTTGAACTTCCAGTCTTCGTCGCACCAAATTTCTTTGACCTTGAACCGAAAGGTCTCATCCCTGGATGCGAACATTTTCTTGTAAACAACCTCTGGTTCCCTATCAAACCTTTGCAAGATATCCATCATCCTGTTGCCTGGGTCACTATCATGGAGTGATGTGACCATCAGTAATTGATGCAATGCGTCCTTCCTATATGCCATATCAAGGGCGAATACCCACTCGCCTAAAACCTTCGCAACTTTGAAGGGCCCGCAGTCGACATCATAGTTACACAAAAACACCCGTTCTGGGTTTCGCTGCTTGAATGCGAACCCGGGATTTTCATAAAACATCGCGGCGAGATCTTCCTCCTTCGGCGTGGCAGACGATGATTGGCCCAAATTTGGCCCGTCATCTTCCATGTCTCGTTTTACAGGAGATGGGGTATTCGGCGCACGACTGGAGCTACGATGCCGTCTTTCAGATCTCTTGGGTGCTGCGGGACTCGGTTCCGAATTATCTGTAAATGCCTCTCTGATTCTGGCAAGGAGCTCCGAGTCTTCTGAATCATCGTCGTAGCTAACAAAACCGTTTAGTCTTCTTCCTCTGGCATGTAGATGGGTGGGGTATTCTCACCTGAAGGGAGTATCTGAGTCGAGGTTGTTGAGCTCATCTAACTCGACAGGATTTACCGCAGGCTCAGAACGTAAATTCTCAGAGGTAGCCCTCGACTGGTCCGTGTTTCCTTGCGGGCATTGGCTCTTTTGCCCGTTATTCGCCCTATTAAAGATGTTACTTCGCCTGTTCCTCCAAATTTGAACTGGGCACACTCTGGTTTGTTCTTCGGGTCATCAACGCACGGTGCTTTGCTCCGCATCGCCTCTACGATGTCTGCAAAGTTCTTTCGAGGTCTATGAGTACCTGTGTGTATTCAGCGATTTGTTTTGGATGATGTTGGTGGCTCACTTTGTTTCCTTGACATAGACAGTCACAAATTGATAAGGAGATCTAGCTCTTTCACCAATAATCAGTGGATCTATTACATGCGACGCTCGATACACAGAGATGGGATCGGATTGGCCCAAGTCCCTGTCACAAATATCATATGTGAACTGAAAACCCCGACCAGAAGACGTACTCTATTTTGGCAATTCTCTTCTTCGTTTCCGGCGTCATAGGTTTCGGATCAGCCCACTGGGGCGCGACAATTCTCTCGAATTTATGATCCTGCTTCCGACTTCTGCGAGTAGGGTTAAGCAACTCGCGGATGTTGGTGTAACCTCACGCACAAATAAAAATCGAGGAGATCCAATGATCCCAACACTACCGGATCTGGTGCAACGGGGAATATGCCTTGTGTGATAATTTCACGGCCGATTGGGCACAGATGAATTTCATTTCATACCTGTTTCTTTGTGAGCGCCATCAAATGTCCTATGCGAGCTCGGGTACCACTCCTTGCTAGATTGTATGGCCGTTGTCCTACAAATGCTTTCTAGGTATTCATTTCGTCGAAGGTGCTCAGGGCTCGTCGCTTCCGGTCCATTCTTTCGACTTCCCTGGTCCACCAATCCTCAAACTGCTGTCTACTCCCAAAGGTCCAGGATAGACGTCTTCTGCCTTCATCGATGTGACTGGAATCGTTTTCCTGAGAATGCGAAGTCTGTATTATCGAGAGAAAGTGATGCAAGGAATGCGAGATGGTGATACAAGCGTTCAAGTTTATACTATTTTTCGGTCGACCATCCATAATCCAGTGTATGCAAAGCTAATGGACGATATATCGATAACGGCGCCTGGGACCCACTGTTCCTGTTTCTTGATGCGATTCGGTATGTCACACGCTTGGGCGCTTATTCACCTTGACTACAAAGTCACATCATATCTTCATTAACTTAGAATTTTTCTGCTCGCCCTGGAAATAGGCAAGCATCTGGTCTGCTATTACAGATAACCTGCACGTTTTTAGTTTGCCAGTGCCGACCTTTTAGCGGACGATGATGCAGGGGATCGAGATTTGTATCATCACGCTCCCATACCATTGCTCGGCACTTGGGCACGAAGACTATCATTTGGCATATATGTTTTTAAGATTTTAATGTGTACGTTCATACACTTGGATGAGATGTTGTTTACTGGTGCGCTAACCAGTCATGGCAGAATTGATCACCAAATCTTATCTCGAATGCACGATCGTCTCGATCATTAGCTCTTCGACACGAAGTGCCAAACCTTACCCTAGATCTCCCTAGATTCAGGCTAATTGGGGCGTCATGCCGAATATTAAAAGACCTGCTATATGAAGATATCCCGCCGTCTTCTCTGATTGGTCCATCACAGAAGCGCATTATTGGGAGACTAACGAAGAACACTCGAACGCAAGTATCAATCTACATCCACAAGGATTCAGATTCACTCTCCATCCTTAGACTCTGGCGTAGCATGTCCTTCAGCTCATCGAACGTCACTTTACGCTCTAACCCGAACATCCACTCCTCATCAATGTAAACGTCGACAACCTTGTAATGGGTACCCTTCTTTGTGACTATCACCCGTTTATGGATAGAGTTCGGACGGCGAAGGAGCATTTGCACGAGGTCCTCAGCCACTTTGCTATCTGCCACTGGACGACATGACTGTAATAACTGTCGCATCTGCTCCTTTGTATACGTCAAGTTGACCACGAAGGACCAGACGTTGCCCTTTATGCCTCCTCGAACCACCCTAAAGGGTGTCTCGCGGTTTCCTCTGCGAAGCAGAAAGTATTGCGTCGGGTTGATATATTTTGTTGTTATAACGAAGAAGGGATCTCGTTCGAATCTATCGACAAGACCGAGACATTCCTCCGTGGTGTCCTTACTAGTAGAATGGTATGGAGAGGGCTTGCGTGTCATGCGACTCGAAAGCGGAGAGCGATTTAGGGCGTCGCTATGTGTTCCCGATGGGTCAGCCTGAGGCTCGGGAGGATCGCTAAGATTGCTGATGATCCTCGTAAAGGCTGATACCCTGGAGGTAGGCGCGCCCTCTTCTTCAACGACTTCTCCTCTAACGCGGAAATCAGGTGATGAGATCACTGAGGTCTGCACAGACCTCAATAAGGGCTCCTCGTCTGACAGGGTGGCATCGTCAAAATGGAAGGCACCAGTAGTGCCATTATCCGAAGCACTAGAATGAGCATCCAACTTATCCCTGTCGTTATAAGAGTCGGGCGACCTTTAAAACCACGCTTTAATGCAATATGCGACAGCCGCGATGCATATGGCGTACTGGAGATCTCTCCCGAACACGTTATGGTTAAACGGCAGCTCCTTCCCCTCAGATTTCGCTTGAGCCGGTTGTTGTTCTTTAGTATTGAGCTCGATTACCGCGTTATATCTCTCCTGTCTTCGTTGAATTGTAGGATTTTCAGTCGCTTTTGGATGCAGCGCGCGTGTTCTGTACTGTGTGTCAGTTCCTTTCGTTGTCAACGACGAAACCATGATGTGTACTCGAGCTCATCAATCCGGCTATGCAGAATCTCACAATCAATTCTGCTCACCTCGGGCTCTGGACCTAGGAGGTGCCGAGGTTCGAGCAGCCTTGTGTACTCATACATGCCATACATGTCCTGGCAGTTGATTTGATTTCTACAAGAAAGGACGTTTACGCAACATGTCGCGGGGACGGATTCTGAAACTCACAAATAGAACTCAAAATAATCTAGCGTGCGCCACTGTAAACGCGTTGAGATCATGGGGAATACACCTCTGATGATAGTCTTGATGGCGGATCGAGCGCTGATAGGTGTAAGCATGTAGCTGAGCACGTAAGTCAGGAATGCCATCTGAAAAAGTACTAGTGCTTACTCTTCATATGTTTCCGGCATTTGGTTACACAGATTATCCATCTTCATCAAATACTCGTCCATTTCGTGGAACGACTGCAGCTTTTTCCTATCTTCGGTGAATTGGTCAACTATCTGGCACCACCTGTCCTCGAACTTTTCCATGTTTCCGAAGACCAGCACTTTTATTTCATCTTCACTTTTACCCGCGAGATGATTGTTCTCCTTCAGGAACTGTTGAAGATACTCCGCCTGAGGGATACGTAAAACGGAAGTAAAGTGGTAGAGTGCTTTGCCTAATCGACAAGCGACTTTTTCATCGTGATCACTGCTGCTCATGGTTGTGGGGTGTTGAGTTACTTTCAATGGGAGCAATCAAGCATGTAAAATTGCACGCTAGCTACCATGCGGTGGGCATGAGGTAATATCCGGTACTATACTTACTAGGAGTATAAAATATATATTGGTCCCTCTTAGCTCAGTGGTAGAGCGTGTCACTCGTATCTGTAGTGGCGATGACAAGGTCAGTCGTTCAATCCGGCTAGCGGGAATTTTTGGACCTCACTTCGCTCTTTGGTTTCAATTCCGGTAGCACCGAGGTCCGATGCTCATTCTTCAACGCTGAGTAAATACTGGTCGGACTCAAAATTGAAGCACCTCAAATTATAAACTAAATGTCCGGACTACGTACCTTCAGGTGTGAAAACCAAAATTGTATGCACTAGTATGCGCAAACACATATATTGACTATTACCGGACAGATGAGTTAACTATGGCTTCCTCTGGGTTAATCGCGTGGTCTGAAAAAGGGTAATGCTCGCCTCTGAATCGCACAGACATGTAAAATATGAAACTAATAAGTTGGCGAATCCTCCTTAGCTCAGTTGGTAGAGCGCGTCACTTGTAATGACGAGGTCAGTCGTTCAAGTCGGCTAGGGGGAATTCAGGTTGAACATGGATTTCTAAATATCTTTTCTGTGTCGACCAGGCAGCAGGGCTAGGGGTCCTCTAGCTCTCAAGTGAGGCTGAGCACTAAACACGGGGAACTCCTTTAGTCCTTTGGGGTGGACCTTACAACAGAAACTCGATTTTTGAGGTAATCTCAAAATGTATACTCTCCCCGGCGGTATCAATTCATATGTTGTCACGGGGCTCCACCCAACAGTCTGAAGTATTTATGCTTCTCCCTCGGACGCGATAGTATAGACATCATCTGAAATAAGTTGGCTTGACCTACAACTCACCAGTTGTAAACGTACATCGAGCCATTGCGCCACGCTGTATTTTAGTAGGTCAGTTTGCAAGGCAAGTTAGAATCAACCGTGGCAGCTGACAGTATACATTGCTATCTGATATCGTTACAAGAATGCAATTGAAACAAAGAGTCCAATGGTCCAAGAAAAGTCCGAGTCCTATCGTTATGGTCCTTGTACCATGTCTACCTCCAGGATTCCCCTATCGCTCAACATGCCCATTCCCCTTCTCACTGCGGCTAAGCACTCCCTCTCCAATGGGTCCCTCATGGACCGTTTCATATCCCTGACAGGTATTTCAAACCTAACCTTTTTGTTCACTACCATCATTGCCTCCTCTAGTCGCCTCCACTCATCCCGGGGACAATCTATAATGGCTTTAGGGTGAGATCGCAAATTAAAAGTGACAGTCTCCATGCGGGACGTGTCGCGTGAGTATCGCTGAAAAAATAACTCCGTCAATCCAGATAACACGGTGTGGTTGGCTACGCGGTCGGAAAAGAAGTTGGAGAAGTAACATGTGATGTTCGGGACGTGGGAGATATCCAAACCGTTCGTTGCTGTAATGGTCAGAATTGAGTCGTATTCAAAGCGAGTGTATAGGTGGTAACGTACATGACGAGAAACCGTGAAACACGACCTCTTCTAGCGCATCGCCGGCAGCTTCGAGAAGACGCTGGAGATGGTCGCTCTGGTCACCATGATCAGACCAGACTTGGAGCCTTCGAAGGGAACTGAGGTCCAACGGAGAGTGAGGGTGGGTGAGTGTGTCAATGAGAACGACGGGAACATTCTGTATGCGTAGATATCGGAGCTTTGGTCTCTGAGAAAGCTGTTCATCATTGATGGGGGTATTGTGCTCGCGGTCCGGATGCGCCTGGAGGCTGAGCTGGTCGCTGATGTATACATTCATCAATCGCAACTCTGTCAGATCACGGCTGTTGCTGAACAGCTGGAGAAAGTCGGCAGGTTGTAGGAAAGATGTATAGTTTAAGGAAAGAGATTTGAGGTGGGGTAGGGAGAAGCTTTGACACAACGAAGTACGGATGTCGCTTGAGCCGTCCCACCTCCGGTCGTAGTGTCGTCCTGAGATGGTCATGTTTCTCAGGTTGCTTAGGGAGCCGAGTATCCGTGGCACGACATCCTGGTCCTGTGTAAACCAGCTGTTCTTCCCCCAGGTAAAGTTGTAGATGATGAAGTTCTTGACGAGGGGCGCGATACGTTTCGATCGCGCAAGCAATTTCAGGAAATCGACCGAAGGATTGTGTACCCGACTAGAGTCATCTCGAGAGTCGAGTACGACAGAGGAGAAGAGAAGCTTCTGGGAGTGAGGAAAGAATGATTGCGACACGAGAGAGCATGCTTTGAGCGCCTCTCGGTCGTCCGCAAGTTCGTCAATGATGGCCTGAACGAGTTCTTGTGGGAATAAATCCATGGTGTACAGTATATACAAACTGAAAAGGCAAGTTTGCTGGCTCAGTAAACTGGTAATGAAAGTAAGGTCATTGGCCACGTACAACGTTAGGTCCGAATATCTCTAGAATCTAGAGGGAATGAACATCAATCTCCCCGTCATTCCTTCTACTTAAACAAACAAGATTTGGGGGCGACCCGGTGTCGGTAACGATAAGTCTGGGGTGAACACTGAATACTGGTACCCGGATGACGGAGTGGTGCGAGGGTAGGTATGTCGGCTATTGCCGATTACCGGATACCGGATCCGGACTATACCCCTTTCAATTCTACGCGTACCTACCCCGGATTTCGTTGTTACGCGAAAGTCGGCAAACGCGCATTTGGTCTGATGACGTATAAATTTAGGTACGCGCATTTTCTCTCCAGTACAAGGGGAAATTTTTACTTTACAATACGAGGCCTGCTGCAAACCCTCAGTTTTCAATTCACAACCGTCCGGTCTCAGAAATGCCAGGCTCTAATCAAATATCCAATCTTCAAAAGAGTGGCGTCGGCGACAACAACAGCTTCTTTAGATTCAGCCTTGTTTGAGCCAATCGCTTGACGAGTTTGACTGGAATTTGAACATTGTTATCAGGGCCATGATGGTAGGAATCAATGCCGGACCTCGAAAGAAAAGATCAAGCGGAGTTGAAAAGACATAAAGACTCGAAAGTACGTCGCATGGACAGGCCGATCAAGAAGACTGAAATGAAGGGATGCATCTGGCTCGGTTCCCGGGCTAGCGGAAAGTCAATACGCAAAAGACGACTCGGATATACTGGACCCGAGGGAGCGATCTTTCCAACATCTTGGTCCTTCTGCGGTGGTCGGATAGGCTGGCGAGCTTGTAAGACACGGGTGTGGGTATAGATCATAGGCCGTTTTCTCCGCACAAAGGGCTGCGATGATAGCATCTTCTAGTCATAGAGAAGGACGTGAATGGTCCGTCGGACGCCCGATGACTCCACGAGGAGGGATAAGTCGTGTACCATGTGAGCTGAGTCTCAATGTCGCAAACAATAGCTTGAAGATACGGACAGTTGAATGACATGTCTGAAAGTTAATCTGAAACGTGCTTGAACGTCAGTGCCAGTAACTTCCAGTCGATAGCAAGCTTACACTATGTCCAGAGTATCTCGGGAGCCCGCTCATCCACGTAGAGCAGAGGTTAAACGCCACATGTATCATGTGGTTCATAGAAACCGAAGACGTTCGGGTCAAGAAAGAAGGGCAAGCAGTGCTCTGAATTTGACGCCACATTTACATTCTCTCTTCAGGACGAGAAAATTTGTTGAGATGATACTATAGTTCTTTGAGCTTCCGCGAAAAGTGGCTGCGCGCAGAATTAAAAACCTCGCTGTTGGAGGAGGTTTTCATCTACAAGAGTTGCGGGTCAACAGATTGTTATATCTACTGATGTCCAGGTTTGACTACGAAAAAGAAAAGTATAGAATATTTTTTGTTTCCTTCTGTTTAAGCCTGACCTGTACAATACTTTGGGTGACGATTCTACTTATTATTTTCCAGGCGCCTTGCCTATGCATCAAAAAAATGGCCGGTGTCCATGATAGTTAGTTTCCAAAAAATTTCCATATGCAGTCGCAGAGTTATTCTTGATTCATCGACAAATCAGAGAGTATCGATTCCTTTTTTTGAGCTGTGTGACCGTAAATACAACGGGTTCCTTCAAGGCTGCTATGCGTACCGGGCGCGTACTGACTGAGCACTTCGCCGTTTACGTATATTTTCGGTGGGCGTCGTCCAAGTAGAAGAAAAATGTTTGTTTGAGTACTACTGGTCGCGAGCATAGCCAGCCCAAGTGAGAATGCGAAATCTACTGGTTTCGAAGTGGGCCTGGGGGAAAAACTGATTCTTTAGGCCGATAGGTTGCCGCCTCATGCCATATATAAAATTTCGTCGCGTCAAATAGTGATGCAAGACTGGAGGTCTGTAGATCCTTGAGAGCACGAGTTGAGAAGGCAGGAAAAGACGGGCCGGGGAACCGAACTTCGAACAAGCACGTGAACGGCCTTCAAGTTCTTCGCCGGAAACTTTTTGAAGTCGAACAGCTACAACACACGCTGTGCATGGGGCCCACCGCGACGAATTCTCACTAGGGACTTTATATGAAAAAGATGACAGAAGGGAGGATACTTCGACTAGTGATATACTGTTTAAATGTTCTGGTTACCGTGACGGCGAGTGACATAATGCAGTAGGTGTATTCAAGTCTGCACCGAGCAATCAGGCTAACGCGGATTTCTTCGACAGGTCGAATGAACGTGTTTTTCCACTTCATAGGTAAAATTGGACTCGTGACTCCTCGCTCTTTTTTAAGCCTTAAGCTTGAGCTCAAGCGCTACGAACTTCAGCTTCAACAGTCCCGTTGACTCGGACATAACTATTCTACGAGGGACACTTCAAATTTCTAACTCACGGTATGAAGCAGCCTAACACGTTGTGGGTAACATATAGGTATGTCTGTATAATTAGGGTAAGCTTTCGGTTATGAATGACTCAGATACTCAGGCAGGCAGTTGGAGATGTTTAGTTCAGCCTATACTATTTAACCCGCATGACTAGAGGTCCATAATACGCTTGTCACGCTTTTAATTGTCTTCTAAATGCCTTCCGCATGGTCATCAAAGAAATAGCAGAAACCATCTGAGGCCGCCCGAATTAATGGAACCTTGGCGATAGAGGAAAGCTGTGAGTGCACGAGCGACTATCGCGGTTTCAGATTCTCTTTTTAACTTGTAGATGACTTGGTATGCTCGTTTTTGCATCCTTATTACTTGGACGCTGATGGCAGGTCTATCAGAGATAACGTAGAGTTGTCT